GCTCCCCACTTTTTTTTTTTTTTAATGATTTTGAGTTTTGTTCCACATTGCTCTCCTACTCCATCCAGGATCTCTTACATAGATCCCCCTCTGAGTGGTTGACAGTGGTAGCCAGGCACTATCCTGTTCTGGTCTTATAGTTATATAGGCTGAGAATTGCATGTGTGCCAGTCGCTTGGACTAATTGTTTCCATGCGTCTTTGGTTTTCTTCATTCTTCTCTGCTCTGGATGAGGAGAGAGCCATCCTTGCATCTAGATGGCTACTTACAAGCTTTTAAGATCCCAGTCACTACTCGCCACAGTAGGATGTGGGACAATGTTTTTGTGTAGTATGTTGTGCCAATTGAGCTTGATGTTCCCTGTGACTGTGGTCCTGAGCCCACAGGTCCAACTACTCGCTCCCTCTGGGTAGCTGGCTGTGGCCGAGAAGTGGCTACAACCTTGTCCCTTGTCAGCTCTACTATATACCTGGGAATTCTTACAGAACATACTAATACACTTATAGAAACATTGTCTGCCAGCCCTGTATGTGGTCATGGGCACCCTCCTACCTGCATAGACTTACCTAATAGTTCAACCTCTCCACCCAACTGTCCACCCATATATCAGTGTTTGCCTTCACTGACAGTGCAGTACTGTATGTGCAAAAGGGTTTATCTTTGTTGTCTGTACCTCCCATGCAACTCTCTATGTCTTACTCTTCCTCAGTGCCACCGTGTTGATCACTCACATTTGGTACAATGCCTTTCTGTTACCCAAATCAATACTTGTCTCTACCTATCTAACAGTGTTCCCTCCTCTCCACTCCCCTCATATCCCTGGTTACCAACAAAGAAAATTTCTTTCTGTATATAAATCTTTCCTTAGCTTTTTACATCAACAGACTAATACAGTATTTGTCCTGTGATTGACTTATTTCACTCTGCATAATGTCCTCCAAGTTCATCCACGTTAATGTGGTGTTTTGCATATTCTACGTTATTCTTCAGTATTGCATAGTATTCCATTGTGTGTATGTACCATAGGTTGGTTATCCATTTTTCTGTTGATGGGCACATAGGTTGTTTCCATCTTTTTGCTATTGTAAATAGTGCTGCAATGAACATGAGTGTGCATATATCTGTTCTTGTCCTGGCTCTCACTTCTTTAGGATATGTACCTAGTAATGGAATGGCTGGGTCAAATGGTGTTTCTAACTTTTGAAGGAATCACCATACTTCTTTCTACAGTGGTTGTATCATTTTACAGTCCCCCACGCAGTGTATGAGAGTCCCAATCTCTCTGCATCCTCACCAGCATTTGTTTTTTTCTGTCTCGTTGAACTTTGCTACTAGTGCTGGGGCAAGATGGTAGCTCATTGTTGTTTTGATTTGCATCTC